TAATTCTGTTTTCCCTCTCTATTAATTTCAAATTCCTTTTATCTTGAGTTGTTTACATGTTGCAACATTCAAACAGACAAAAGGGTATGACTTAATGGCCTTTGGTGAGTTTCACTCCTTCCATATTAGCAAATTCACCTTCAAACTAGAAAGTCTCTTCCATATTGTTTTTGGGATCACATAAATATGTTAAGAAGTAATACTTTATTTTTTGTTTCTCCACATATTTCTAATACATTTTTTGCATGAGAAATTTAATTTCTATATTATTTCCCTAAGAGCTGTATATTAAATATATCACAAGGGATTTCCATCCTCTCCATTTCTTTGGGCAGACAATATGTGTCTTGAACAGGAGATAAGAAAAGAACAGAAAATTATGATTTTTAAAGAATTTTAGTTATCTCAGTAACAGTGTATTAACTTGAAAACATGTGTAAGTTTAATCTTACTGCAGAGTGATTTAACAGGGGCATTATACCGATTAATATTTGCAGCAGAGAGAGTTTTATTTTTTTTATTTTTTTTATTGTAGTGTAGTCAGTTTACAGTGTTGTGTCAATTTCCAGTGTACAGCATAATGCTTCAGTCATACATGAACATATATATTTTCATTTTCATATTTTTCAACATAAGTTACTATAATATATTGAATATCTCTCCCTGTGCTATACAGTAGGAACTTGTAGTTTATCTATTTTATGTGTATTAGTACCTGCAAATCTCAAACTCCCAATTTTTCCCTTCCCACCCCATTACCCTCTCTGGTAACCGTAAGTTTGTTTTCTATGTCTGTGAGTCTGTTTCTGTTTTGTGAATAAGTTTGTCTTTTTTTTTCTTTAAAGATCCTACATGTAAGTGATATCATATGGTATTTTTCTTTCTCTTTCTGGTTTGTTTGTCTTAGAATGACAATCTCCAGGTCCATCCATGTTGCTGCAAATGGCATTATTTTATCATTTTTATGGCTGAGTAGTATTCCATTGTATAAATATACCACAGCTTCTTTATTCAGTCATCTGTCGAGGACATTTAGGTTGTTCAGAGATAGTTTTAAAAAGTGCAGTGTTCCCTGAAGACAGAAAGTCTGTGCCAATGCATGAAACTCCAAAGAGATCTATATATAAGCTGTGTTATAACACATTTCTTTATTTCATTTTCATCAATGGGAAACTAGAAAACGTTAACAGAAAATGATCAATTCTTCCAGTTTGTGCATTTGTTTGTTTTAGTTAGAATTTAAACAAAATGCTGTTATTCTCAATCAATTTCTTAGTAGAGGATGAGAATTCATTAATAGTATAACTAATTAAGGTATCTAATTATTTTAACCAGTGGGTCCATGTTGATTTTGGAGCATAAAAATCATTATCAAAGTTCTATTGATGTAAACTCTGACGTTCTTTGTTAAATTTTGCCCTCATTTTAAATGGCAATTCCACATGGATGCAGATTTTTTAGACTGTGAATATATACAGCATTTATTCTACTCTTTTTAGAAAATGTTATTTTTTATATTGTGAAAATCTGAAACAGTATGAACATGGTCAATCTGATTTGATGATTCTTACATAAATAGACCTCTACAGTGTATATCAATTTTATTAAGAATAAATGTAAGCAGAATAATCAATAGTGTCTGTTAATTTATTATTCAAATAGCATTTATTAGATGCTTGTTATGTATTAGACACAAAGAGTATTTTTAAACGAATAGCATTTGATTACTACCAATTATCTCATTCACAGAAGTGTTCAGTGAGGTTATAAAATAGGCAAATGGGTCAAAACCAAACTTTTACCTTTGGTTAATATTGATATACCTCAGCTATCTGTAACAAACCAGTTATGTATTAGATGTTTTCCTTAGAATCTGTGAGTAATATTGCTAATTTGGTTGAGAACTGACCTGTAAATTCCTATATAGAGTTCTAAATACTTTGCTATTTTGCAGGATGGACCTCCCCCCCAACCCCAATGTGCATTCATATGTTGAAGCTGATGACACATCACTCACCGAGAGAATCTGACAGAAGGTCCTCATACCAGGGACTCCTGGGGAAATCAGTTTGTGCAAACAGGTAAGAGGCGGCTTGGGCAAAGCAGAGGGGATGGGTTTATAGCTATTAAAATGTGTAACCAGGGGAATGTTCTGACACCCAGTCAGGAGATGTGTGAGATTTTAAATTTCCCACCTGCTCCAAAGGAGAAAGTGTGTGCTGGCTCCTTCATCAGCTTGTCCAGAGTGGGGCCAAAGGGGAAAAACGATTGCGAGTTAAAAAGAAGTCAACAGTCAAACATCATAAATGTGGGCATCTGTAAAATGTATGTGATGAATCGTCTTTAGGCTAATGATTTTTTAGCCTATTTTTGAAAAGTACTATGGCATCTCAAAAAGAACATAAGCTTTAGGATAAAGCAGAACTAGGATTTGATTTCATTCTCTGCTTTAAAGTATCATGTGGTTTTCACTAAGTCATTTTACACCTGTTGGATTCAGAATTTTGTTTTGTTTTGATTTTCTTCTTTAAAACTGAGTTAATTCTTAATCTGTATTGTGACTTTAACCCTCATGGTAAAGACAAGGTAGTACATATCAAGCAGTTTGACAAATATTTTACTTTGTGTTTTATTTTCTTGAAATAATATGAGTAACTACGATTCTTGATACGTGTTTCCAAAGAAGATCCTTTGTAGGAACTCAGTGAAGCTAAGTATTTCATGCGTTATATTATGTGGGCTTCACGCTCTGTACATTAA